AGGAAACCGCGGGTGGTAAAGTCCAAGTCAGTGTCTTCCCCGGATGTTCTCGACGCCCGTGAAATGTGATTAATGCCGATACGCTTGTCTGAAAAAAGGGAAATTCACCCCAAAAGTGGGTGAAAGTTCACGGGCAATCACAGCGCTCGGACTTCGCTCGCCAGCCCCGCGTCCCTCCCGCCCCGCTCGGCGGAGGAGGACAAAAACATTTGGCTAATGAGTTACGGGGCGCAGCGGGTCCGGCCCTGCCATTGCTCACCGCCGTCCCCAATCAGGGACCAGAGGTTTTGCAATCTGGGATGTTATTTCTGTGCAGTTGGAGTTTAAACTTTGCCACTCGGGTCAGGGCACCACGGAGGAGGAGGTGACCGGGCTCGGTGTCTGCCCCACTCCCCTGCGCACTGAGGGGGCTGAGAAGACGGGACGGATCTGTGAGAGTGGGATCTCACACAGGTATGTCCTGGCCACCAGCGCTCAACAGGGTCCCTCTACCTGATGGTCCCAAGGGGCCATCAGGGCTCACTGGAAGGACTGAGGATGAAGGACCGGGTGCAGTAAAGCCCCTTGCCTGGGTTGGCCATCCAAAAACATCATGGTAACAACAATCGTCCCCAACCCGGGCTTGAAGGACACCAGAGTCCGTGCTTAATAGGTTGGGAAAGGCCTTTGGGTGATGGGTTGGGTGGAGTGACTTGGGTAGTTGAGTGGTGGGTTGTGTAGTTGGGTGGTGGGTTGGGTAGTTGGGTGGTGGTTTGGTTGATCAGTCAAGCAGACAGTTGACTGGTCGGTCAGTTGGTTAGTGGGTTGATTATTTGGTCAGTCAATCAGTTGGTCAGTTGGCTGACAGGTTGACCAGTCAGTCTGTTTCTTGGTTGGTTCATTGATTTGGCCGGTCAACCAGTTGGTCAGTTGATCAACTGGTTGGTCAGGCGGTCGGTTAGTTGGGTTGTCAGTCAACTGATTGTCCGGTTGGGCAACTGGTCTGTTGGTCCGTTGGTTTTCTGTGAGTCTGGGGTCTCAAGTAGTGTTTGGGGTGGTGGTGGCAGAGGGGGCTGAGTCCCCTCCTCGGGGCCGGCTGGTGGCAGCAGTCTCCTCCCCTCCGCTTGCCATCCAAAATGATTAACCTGATCTTGTGGATCTTCTTTGGGACAGGGCTGGAAGGGGGACCTGACCCAGCCCTCGGGTCTGGGCACTCATCCTGCTCCTGCACTCAGGGGCGCAGTGGGG